GAAAGGAGAACTTTATTGATTACAGGGGGTAGAGTGGGTGGTTCAGCAGGGGCCTTGCACATCTCAATGCCTGGTGCAGGGTCCGTTGGCTCATGCAGCATCTTTGCTTAAGTATACAGGGCTTCTGTGAAACTGCAGGCCCACCTATAGATCCAGGCATTGCAGCTTTTGGGTCCCTTGCCTTCCCCCATCAGCACCCTCACAGTGGGAAGGACGCTGTCAAAATCTCCCCAGTGGTCCAAGGCGAGCTATACCTTGCTGCTAGACCACTGGTATACTCATGGTCAAGAAATGCAAGTAGCTTACCTCTGGGGATGGCTGGGACCTAGAGGTCCACAGGCTCCTTGGAACTTGCTGGTTCTTGGGTGTCCTTCTCTTGGTCCTGGGTCTCAGTGGACTCCTTAGGCACCATCTGAACCCCTCAGTCCCCAAGACCCTGGTTGGGATTGGGAGAGCTATGCTGCCCCTTGGGACAGGGGTTAGGGTAAGGGTGGGGATGGGGCTCCTTCACAAGATGGTAAGGTACAGCTGGAGTTCCTGGGCGGAGGGGGGGTCTGTGTGGGGTCCCTGACAAGATCAGCCTGTTGATCAGGGAACTGCACCCCAACCCCCATTGGCACAGAGGCTTTTCTGGGAGGGGGAGGGAAGAGACCCATCAGGCACTGGGGTGGCTTTGGTGCCACCTTCAGTACTCACTGGGGTGAATCCCAGGGCCCCTGTCACCCCCATAATCAGAGGGGGAGGGCTTTGCTGCCAGACCTTCTTCTGGGTCAGCTGAAGCCTCAGTCTAGGGGGTAGGCCCTGGCCAGCAGAGTGAGGGGCTTCCTCCATAGGCTTGTGTTTGGGTCTGTATAGCAGGCCCAAAGCTTCCTCCACATTTCCTGGGGGTGGGGTGTCAGGCACAGCTGGAGAGGTCCCCAGAAGCTGGGCTGCTCCTTCCCCCCCCTCCCATGTTATGGTCTTTGGAGGGTGGGTTCTCCACATCAGAGTTCCAGCTGCACCCAGGCCTTCCTCTTGGCTTTGTATCCAGAAGGAACCTGCACCCACTCAGCCATGGGGTGGTCCTCAGGTGGATAGACCCCAGTAGGACGTGAGGTGTGTGTGGGGGAAGTTACAGCAGGGGCAAGGCTAGGGGCGGGGGGCCCCGGCTCTCTTTCCTCCCTTGGTTGCTACCCCCTTAGGACTCCACCAAACTTGATTGGTGGGCAGCGTTGCCCAAGCTCATGGGGGGTTGCCAGTGGGACCTGCGGATGCCTTTCCCACCTGGCCTGTGGGAAACTCACGATGCAAGCAACCCAGGGTATTGCACCGGAAGCATCGCAGGTCCTCCAGCATATAGAAAAATCTTCACTAGGGCCCCCCAAAACATATCACGAGGCAGCTCTTGGCCTCCAGCCACACTTCTACCACCAGCTGGATCATGACCTGATGATGGAAAGAACATGTGTAGTCTGTGGATAGCTGCAGTTCCCCCACTCAGGGGCTGCATTGATGGGGCCAGGGCCAGGGCCAGGGCCAGGCTAAGTGTGTGGGCTGGTTGGTGTGGTGCATCTGGTCCCCTCAGGTGCTGATGGTCTAGGTTTGGAAGCAGGGCCCTTGCCATTCCCACCCCAGCTGTGGGGGAGGCTGAAGAAGAGTCCTTCCCACTGCCCTTGCCTTGGTCCCTGATGGTGGGGGAGGGGGATTGAGAACCCCTTTGTAGGGGTGGGCCTGACCAAGGGAGTTCCCCTGGCTCACTGAGCTACAGCCCTACAGGAAAAAAAACTGGGAGGGCTAAGCTTGGAGAATGTGCGGGCGGGGGAACATGTACACACAAGGGCTTGGGAGACTTGAGCTGGCTTACTCAGCACCACAACAAATCACCAGGGCATGGGGAATGGACCACAGGACTTACCACACAAGGGCAAAAAAACATACATGGAAGGCTGCAGAGGCAGATGTAAGAGATGGCTGGAGCAGCGGAGGGGCTTTGTTGAAGATCAGTCCAGGAGCCCCTCAGGCCTCCAGCCAGGCATTCAGCAGCAGAGCAACAAACAGGAAAACAAAGCAGGATCAGATGCAGTGAGGTAGCTGTGGGGGAGGGCAAGAGCAATCAGTTAATTAGGGAGTAATTCAGTGCAGGTGTGGTGTTGAGTGGTGCAGCAGGGAATCTCCCTCTCTCCTGAGAGGGGGCGGCAGCAGCAGAACAGATGGCAGCAACAGCTGTAGTGGTGGTAGCAGCCATCCAGTTCAGCTGCTCAGTGTGTGCTTTGGGTGAAAGTGGAGGTGAAGGTGGGGGTGGCCTGCTAAGGCAGCTGGGGCAAGCAACGTACCTTTAGACTCCAGCAGTGATGGTAGGGGAGGGGCCCACAGGCAGTGCAGGCTCCCTTCCCAGGTTGTCTCCTGACAGTGGCTTGGTGGTAGGCTGGGCAGCAGGCCAGAACAGGGGTGCAGAAGCTAGGGTGCAGCGCAGTGTAGTGAGCCCCTCCCTAAGGGCAGGCAGCAGCATGCAGTAGAGGACCTCCTATCGGGGGGGGGGGAGCAACAGCAGCAGCTCAAGATAGGAAGGGGAGCAGCCAACTTACCCCCAAAAGCTTTGAGAACAAGCCAGCAGCTAGTTGAAACTAGAGGCAGGAAGGGGCCTGGACATCTTCTCCCCAGAAGCTTCTGATACCAAGCCAGCAGCATCCTGGAACAAGAAGGGGTATAGCCAACTGCATTCCAGAAGCTCCTGAGAGGAAGCAGCCCTGACTTGCTTGCCAGGGCAGCTTTTTATACTGCTGGGGCCAGCATAGGTGCTAGCCCCAACCTTTAGCTCCCCCTGGCTGCAGTTCTGGGAGGAGGCAGGCAGGTTATTTTGCCCCAAGTGGTACAACTTGCCCCACAGCAAAGTGCATGTCCAGGCATATGCGCTGAGACAAAAAGCCCCAGCTCAAATTTATGCCGCTCCTATTTGAGCTGCTGCAAGTGCACATGCTTGCATGTGTGGACATGCCAATAGAGATTGACAGATAAGTGCCAGCAAGCAGCATCAGGTATATAGTGTAAGACCTTCTGCTTCAGACAGGCAAAGTGTACTGCTTAACTTAAGTGTTCCTCAATGTAGCAGTTGCATCCTTTGTGGGCTTGCTGCTAGAGGGTGACAACTTCATGCTTAAGCTATATTATGAGAGACAAGGGTTTTATTAAAAAGGAGGATGAGCTGCCCCCATCTTGAATGATTTAGGTTATCAGAAAGCAAAGTATTTGTATGGGAGGGTAGAGGTATAATCATATTGTAAATGACAAAAAAAGATGTTTATGCATTTGATACTAGCATGTACAGCACACAGTAGCATTCAGTGTGGTATAACTAAAGCATCCTCTCTATCTTTCCCATTCTGAACCAGGCAAACCTTTATACCAGGTAGCTCAAGAATTAACTTAATATTTTAAGCTTATAGTGATA